ATATGAAAAAAAAATGTGAATTTACCATATTATCCTCATTTAATTAATAATTTCAATTCTTAATGTTTGCATTAATCAATGACATTTTTGAGTATTTTGAATGTTTCACCATTCTCTAAGGCAGCGATGATTTTAGCATACCGCATCCATCATGCTTAAAAAAAACCCTATGTCTGGCTCTAATGAGATGTCTCGATTAATTATAAGACAGTGTAGAAGACCAGTTCACTTGGGCGCAGGCGTAATAAAATATTGTTGTTCAGGTAGATTTTTATCCAATATTTTAATATAATTTAATAAAATATATTCTTGTTTTTTTCGCTTTCGTATACGTGCAGCCGCCATGCAAATAGCCTTTCCAATGTTTTTTTTTTCTTGGGAAGAAGAATATAATACTTGTTTGATGGTTGAATTAGCTAACCTGGGGAAGTGACACTCCTCAAAATAAGTTTACTAAATTAAATTATTATATAGTTTTGGCAAAAGGGAGCTGCATTTTTTGTCCTTTGACAGGACTAGGTTCCCGTAGAAATAAATTCATATTTATAATTTGCAAGACGTTCTATATCAAACACTAATTTTAATAAATTGATTATTGTGCAACCGTGTGCACCTGTCCACCTATAGACGTCCATTATGTGTAGATTATGTATGAGCCGGTAACATAACAATTTATTCATATCAATTTATTTTAACTATCTATTTAGCAACAGTATCATTTTCTTTTTATATGAGTACCATATTTGTACTGACAATTTAGATGAAAAAACGATTATCGATTTGACGGGATTTTTTTTTCTTTCCAAAATGGTTTGAGCAAGGATATGAAAATTATGATGATTTGGACTCTAGTAGGGTGGTTAGAGGATGTGTTTTTCTTAAAATGACATGAATGTGTTTTCATATGCCGCCATTGGTCCAAACGCAAAACACATTGAAGCCCAACCTGAGACTGCAAACAAAGATAGAAGACCCATTCAGAAAAAGACACTAAAGACACCCAAAATTAAAAAAACCTAGACCTGATTCCAGTAGAACCCAAACATTTCTGAGTTGAAAACTAAAATGTTACCATATGCCTATTTTAATGAAAAACAGTAAAATGCTGCAATACGATTCCTTTAAAATCTCATGTGTTTCTTTTTTGAAATCCAAACAAAAAGCTATAATGAATTTTGATTAAGAAGACATTGTAATTTATATGTCATACACGTTGTTTCAGTAACTAAATGCATGTTTCTTTGTTTTGTTTCAAAAGAAACTTGACGTGTATTTTGCTCATTCAATTTCGTGGATGCAGATCACTTATGCCCATAAGCAACAAGAAGTTGAAGAATGAGATTTTCAAATTGCATTTGAAATCTGCTTTGAAGATTAAATATCTGTATCTAGAATAGCCAATCATATTCTCATCTAGATCTAGGTCAGATTCTCAAATCTATTTCTTCAAATGGTTTCTTGAAGAAATCGATTTTTTCTTAGAATCTACAGTTGCATTCATCTGCTCTTCTGGAGCTAAGCTGCCAGTGCCATGGAGTGAAGAAGCTGATGGACAAGCTGCCACTGCCATGAAAAAGTAGCTTATGGTTCCTACTAAGCTTGGTGAAGTGTCGTTCCCACGAAGACTGTAATTTCCTTTGAAGTACCAATTAGGATTAATTCAAAAAGTGTATTTGAAAAATTCATTAATGAGAGTGATTGATTTATTAAACTAAATTAAAACAAATATGAAAATTAGCAATTCAATTAACAGTGGAAAATCAAGTTGATGAGACACTAAAGCATCCGATTTCACCATAATCAATTCCACTTAATTCTTATAGCCAATTAACCCTAATTACTACCCATGAGAACCTACAAGAAAACTTCATGAGTCATGTTAGTCCTGTTGTGAAAATTGACAAACACTTTCACTCACTCCCCTAATGATCTTGTTGTTGATGGACTTTGTGACAAACAAAATAATGGATGAATCACACACACACACTTGAGAAACCAACCAAGCACAAAGTGACACAAGAATTTATAGAGGTTCAGCAATTGCCTACATCCTCTTGGTGATCCCCTTGAGAAATTCACTAATGAAAGAATAAGTTACAACTTTGGTTTACAAAGAAACCCCCTTAGAACTCTATTCTCTCCCA